ATTATGAATTGGGCTGCAATAAACATTCTGGTGCAAATGTCTTTGTTGTAAAATAATTTTTGATCATCTGGGTATATACCTAGTAGAGGAATTGCAGGATCAAATGAAAGGTCTACTTTTAGTTCCTTGAGTGGAAAATGCATTTTTTTAAAAAAGGAAGCCTCAAATAATAGAAGAAAAAGTCCTTGACTTGTGTTTTTCTTCCTCCACAGTTTATGGTCACCCTTCCATGCCAAACAATAAAGAATTATCCCTTTATTTTTAATGAGTGAATAGTATGTCCATAATGTTTAATTTCCTTATTGGTGAACAGATCTCTTCTCAGTATTATGAACCCAAGTCTGATTCTGGAATATTTCTTGTCAGGAATATGAGCTAACAAAGAAACATACTGAAAAAAAAAAACAAGACTTGTCCTAGGAGGACAGCAAAGTTTGACCAGACTCACCTCATATACCTTCAACAACTAATTCTCTGACAGGGAGTCTACAGTGTAGCAAGGGATACTGTGAGAATTTTTAAAAACTATAATAGACAACATTAAAGTTTAACAATTTCTTTTTAGCCTTTACTCCACAGCAGCTTTGAGCATCAAGGGAGAATGGCGGTGACACTTGGAAATTGCAGAATCCTAGCCCATGGGCCCCCAGAAGGGCATTGCCTGGGAGTTAGTAAGAACTGTGACACTTCAGGCAGTCCCCAGGCCTACTGGACCTGAATCTGCATTTGAACAGATCCCCAAATGACTTGTGTGCATGATAAGGTTGGAGAAGCACTGATGCAACATTCAGCCCCTATCATTAACCCATCTAGAGATGGTTTAAAGTATGCAGGAGAAGGTGGGTAGGTTATATGCAAAAACTATGCCATTTTATATAACAGACTGGAAGATTCAAGGAATATAGTATCCAAAGGGGTCTTAGGTAACTAGTCCCCCATGGATACTGAGACAGCCATATGATAAATCATCTTACCCAAAGCTTTCTTTCAGAGGGAAAGGAGAAAAAACTTAATTCTATGTAGCCAGCAGTAATTGGTCTGTGGTTACCTCCCAGAAGGTCATCCTTCATCTAATATGTGAGAAAGGTCAGGGCCACCACATCGGGGACCTGTCATGTTCCAGCACAGCACAGACAATTAGATTTGCAACCTGAGTTCCAGCTGGAAGAAGTTTACTTTCAAGGGTGGGCTCCTAGGGAAACACATCATTGCCTTGAGAGAAAAAAAGGGACCACAAATATAATCCTTAAAGCAACAGGAGTAGACACCAGATATCTCCAAGTGCCTTAACCTCAGTCCAATAAATTAATTCTGTATTTACTCTGTCTGGCAACCACTGGGTTTGGTTTTGTTTTGTTTTCCCCCAAGACTTTCTCATTTTCCTGGCTTCAATTTCTGAAAAACATTTAGGAGGAAAAGGTATTCAATGCCTAGCTTAAAGTGGAAAATCAAAGGACACAATAAGGAAACCAGCATAGTGAGAGACATGCAGGTCATTTAGGATAATAGTAGTAGTAGCCACTAGGCACACTTAGCCCTATTATGTGCCAGGCACAAATGCTTTTTTTTGGGGGGGTGTCAAATAATCCTTTATTGAAACATTTTCCTTCATACTTTTTAACTAGCTGGGCATTCCACAGCACCACTATTGATGTCATCTATGATGTCATGAGTGTGGCGGCCATCAACATTGCAGCCCACAGACTGGGCTGTCCCCAGGATCTTTTTAATGGTTCCAGAGAGTTCTCTAGCTAAAGATCGGTGCCGCATCTGTCTGGCAAAGTTGACAGTCTCATCGAAAGTGATATTTCCGTTGTGTTTAATGTTTTTCTGTTTCTTTCTGTCTCTCGGTGGTTCCTTGAGAGCTTTGATGATGAGGGCAGAGGCAGAAGGTACCACTTCAATCTGGGCCTGTCTGTTCTGGATAATCAGTTTCACTGTAATCCTCAGACCCTTCCAGTCACCAGTTGCTTTGGCGATGTCATCACCAACCTTTTTTGGAGACAAACCCAGGGGGCCAATCTTGGGGGCCAGGGCAGATGTGGCACCAACTTTGCCGCCGGTGCACCTCAGGTACACGACTTTGATCTCATTGGGGTCGAACTTAGGCAGCATGGAGGAGGCGGCTGGTGTCGGATGAACCCAGATTCGGGACAACCGAAGAAAGTTGCACCTTGGCCCCCTCCGACCCGAAAGCCAAAAGCGGCACAAACGCTTTATGGGCATGACCTCACCATCACAGAAAAAGTGGCCTGAAAGGTGGGCTTCTTTCCCTGGGCCACAGCACCTGGCACATATGCGCACCCTTCCCCTTTCCTCATAACAACCCCCATCCTAAAAGGTTTTACTGCCACCATCCAGATATGTTTGCCGACTTCATTGAATTGTCCCTCTTTACTAGATGAGGGAATCAGGGTTCCAAGAGGCAAGTGACTCTCTCAAGGGATTGCTGAGTAGTGGATATGGGATCCCGAAGCCTGCCTTTCTGTCCTCCCTGTCCTGGCCACCCTTGCAATACTGTGCTGACCATCCAAGTGTGCCCACTGCCTCCGAACTGCTGACTGGCCAGTGCAGAGCCAGCAGGACGACATGCTGCTGCCTCTGTACTCCAGTCTGTCACTGCTCATAAGAACCAGTCATGTCCATCCCCAAACCCGTTTAGGGCAGAGGCACTTGGAATTCTAACTATATAATTTAACACTTACATAAATTAATGAAAAGAAGTCATTTCTATGAAAATTAAGTAGAATGGAAACATTCCACTTCCTTTTTATTGTGTGAATTTTTTGCCTTCACATGTTTTTAGGGAAAACAGCAAAGAGAGTTGTATGGAGAATGTGGGGTGAGGATATCTGCCAGGCTTCTCTGTGCCACACTATCACCCACGCCCTGTGACCACTCCCACAGCTGCAGCTGCTCCCAGCTCCATCCTCAGGCAGAGGCAGGCTGGGCACAGGGTCCCTCCCCTGAGTGCCCCCCACCACCACCCTCTCAGTCACAGCCCCTCTCCCGCCCTGCCCTCCTGAGCTTCAGCCACTGGTACTCACAGTCGCTCCAGTTCCTTCATGTCATCGAAGGCCCCTCGTTCCACTGCTCCAATCTGATTCTCCATCAGCTGCCTAGGGAGCAAAGGGACGAGGACAGCTACAGGGTGTGGGTCTAGGACTGCTAGAAACAGCTGGCATGAGGGAGGAGCAGAGGCGAACTCTGCCAGGGCAAGGGAGTGACACGGGAGCTGTGCCCAAACCTCTTACAGACCCATGTCCTGAGCTCGGTGGACAAAATTTCCTCCCAACTTTGCAAATTCCCTGCCCCAGGCTCCTTGGCACACCCAGCCTGACAGCAAGATACACTTCCGGTTTCCATCCATGTCAGCCCCTCTAAGGCCACCCGTCCTGGCAGAGGCTGCGGGGCAACAGAGTACCAGGCCAGAGCTCCGATGGCACGCTCAGGGAAGCAGGGCCGGCAGCAGGCGCACGGGGCTGGCTCTGCGCTGCTGGCATACAGGCCTTGGCCTCCTCTGGCCCAGAAGGCACGTGTCCAAGGGACAGAGCAGGGGGAACAGCCAGTGTCGGGGGAGGGGAGCCTGTGCCAAGTGGGCAGAGCCCACACATGCAGCAAACATGCTCTGCAGTTGGCAGACAATCCCCTCTCCTGCCTGTACCCCTACTCCGCCTGGCCCCATCTGCTGAAGAAAAGAGTGGGGTGCCTGCGCCAACTGAACCACCTGGCTCCGTGGGACTCTGCCTTTCCTCACCGCCAACGTGCCCTGAAACCCAGAGAGTCCGGCTGGTGGGGCAACATTTTTCACCAATAGATTGACTGTTGTGTGATAAATGTTGAGACAATATGTTTTTCTTCTGCATTTTCCCCTCTGAACTCAAAGCAGGCAGCTTATGTGCCCTGCATGGGCCTCAGAGGAGGTTTGGGGCAGGACAGGGCAGGGGCAGAGCTGCCTCCAGACACTTCTCTTTATCTGCTTTGTTTCCAAAAGCCTAGCATGTCAAGGAGCTTCCACTGGAGACCTAGGGGGAGCAGGGAAGGGAACACCAGGAGAGAGGGTGGACTCTCCCAGGGCGCCCTCCATGTGGACTCCCCCAGACTCAGAGGTCAGGTCAGTGGGTGCTGGAGCAGCAAATCCCTGCCTAGCAACTGGTCAGCTCTGACCTCAGAGTGGATTGGCTGCAAGGCCCCCACGCCCTTCAAAGACCCCAGAACAGGAGAACTAGTAGTTCTGAGAGAACTGAAGCCCCAGGACCTTTGCATTACCCTGTGAGCACAGGGTGAGGGAATGTATAATTATCTGATGTTGGATTTGCTGCCAGCCAGATGAAATGAGCTCTGATTCAAAACTGAGTTGATGCAGAGAAAATAAAAAAATATAATTCTTTCCACATTCCTCTGAATTTGTGGGCTGAGCTATTCCTGCATCAGATATTACACATGCTGTGGCTGCCTCTACACAAAGCAGGAGGTGCCCGATGAAGGGGTCTACCCTTTCCCTTCACTCTTCACCCCTGCCCAGCCTGACATTCCACTTCCAGCAAATAGTCAAGGTTTAGCAAGCTATGCTGCCACCTCCAACATCTGCCACTATCAGGCACTTAGGGGAGTCACTTCTGTCCTCAACTGAACTCACCCACCTCCCTCTCAAGATGGGGGGCTATGGCCTTGTTAGGGTACAGGTTCAAGCCAGGAAGAGACCCCTCACCAGGAACCTACCCCGCCAACTCCTTGATCTGGGACTTCCATCCCCTAGAACTGGGAGAAAATGAATGTCTATTGTTGAGACCCCTCCCCACCCCTGTCTAGAATTTTGTTACAGCAGCCCACGAAGACTAACACAGAGACCTAAAGATTCTGCGCAGCCACCTGGTCTTCCCTCACCCTTAGGAGACAGCCAATAGCCAATCTGTCCAGCCCACGCCCTGTGCCATGCCTGGTTTTTTCAGTCATGGGAAACAGTGGTTGCTCTGGGTCAGGACTCAACATCAACCCCAACCTACCCCACCCCCAGGGTATTCCAAGACTGACTTCACATTGGGGGACCCAGCTGGCCTACAGCCTTCCACCCTGCAGCCAGGGTAGAGGCAGCAGCGGGAGGGAGGTCATAAGTGGGGGCAGCACCCCTACTCACAGCACTCGCAGCTGCTTCAGCCCCGCAAAGTCATTCTTATGGATCCGGGAGATGTTGTTGCCATTGAGCTCCCTGGCAGAGGAAAGTGAGAAGGAAGCGGTGAGATGGCCAGGCGGCCCCCAGGTCTCAGCTCCTGGCTCCCTCTCTGCCTGGCTCAAGCCAGTCATCCCTCCAATAGGGCTAGGATGTCCCAGCTAAGCCAGGGAACCCTAGTCTGTTTCAAGGCCCAAAGGCTGAGTCCTCTTTGCAGCCAGAACAACAGGACCCTGTATTTACCTGCAGCCCAGTCCTCCCACTCCACCCACTGTGGTCAAAAGTTCTAAGTACAGCAATGAGCTCAACCCAAGTCCAAGCTACTTTGAGAAAGACTGAGTTCCCCGTCCCAGGTGTGCAGGAAGTGTTTGGTCTGGGTGGTGCTCTAGGGTTGCTTCCACTAAGCTCAACAACACGTGGACTCCTTTTCTACACACCCCAGAACTGGACTTCACAAGAGGTGGGAAAGTAGTTACTGTGTCCATTCCACAGAATAGAAGAAAGCAGCTCTTCCTGAGGACACCAGTCGGGTTGTGACAGCAGAGATCTGAACCCAAAGCCATCTGACCCTTGGGCCTAGGCTGCTTCTGCCAGACCCAGCTGTCTCTCCAAGTCGACAAGCTGATAAGGCATTCAACAGATGGTCATCTCACTTCCCTTGGGCCTTAGGAGCAGCTGAAAAAATCCATTCCCTGCTCCTCCTCACTTTGCTAACAGCATCTCCCACGGGGCTTGTGGCCGCCTAGACTAACATGACCACTGACAAAAGCCCCAGACCAAGCCTCTTCCCCACCCTAAATACTGTGAGCATGCCTTCTCCACGTGAGATGGCTCTTTCCAATTTAAAGGTCTTTTTTGATGGAACTAAATACTCTTCCCTGAAACCCCATTTCTGAGCCTCACTGGCAGTATACCCCCACCTGCTGCCGCTGTAACATAACCATTCTTCAAACATTGAAAACGTCATTGTGGAGCGCTTTAAAATCAGTTCCCTTCCCAAGAAGGGTTGGCTGGCTTCCTCTGGAATGAAACTTTCATCCCCAAACCCAAAACCTCAAGATATTTCTGGGCATTATTAGTAATAGTAGTAGTGTTATTATTATATGTCAGCATTGATTAGAAGAGCAAAGTGTTAAACAACTTAAATGGACATCCACAGAGCATTGCTTAGTTGAATCCAGCGTGTTGGAGAAACTGAATACCATGCACAGATCTGTTTGTCTTGACAAGGAAAGCCACACAATACAGAATGTGGAGAAGGTTAACAAGACAACTGTTTTCTACAAGCCTACTTACGTATAATAAACACACACACACACACACACACACACACACACGTATAAGCACTGATCCAATTATGTGCAAAAAAGGAGCTGGGGGCTGGATGCCACATCTTAGTGGCTGTAACTGCTAAGTGAGGGGACTCGAGGTGATCTTACTTTCTTTATTATACTTCTCTGCATTGTTTTAATTTTTCAAAAAAGGACTTCTAAGCAAACAATTACATTCAAGTTATTGCATTTAAAAGAATAGTATTATGTTCATTATCAAATTTGTTCCTGTTTTTTGAAGAATCAAGACAAAAATGAAAATCACACATAATCCCATCACTAAGAAATAACTTCTGTTAGCATTCTGAAATATTTTCTCTCAAGCCTGTTTTCATTGGATACAATTCTTATATGGTTGAGATGTCAACAAATGTTTACGGCAGACTGAATTACTCTCTGGAAAGCATTTTGCAAGGCTGAGCGTGAAACTCCCACCAAGGCAGAGAGGCTGGGGGCGGACTTCTGAGCTCTGATGATGTCTCTTCTCTCTCATGTTTGCACCCTCTCTTCTCACCCTTTTGCACCAGCTCCCACTGTGCAGACAAGGGGGTACATTCCTTAGCTGAACCCTTCTCCTCACTTCCTACACCCCCTCTGCCCCTACTCAGGAAAAGACCTGAGACAGGCAGGGAGAAGACAACGATGGCACAGATAGCAAAGTAAATACAGCCTCCCTCAGGAGGCCCTGCTGCCGAGCAGTGCAGACCCAGGTCCACCCAGCCTCTTGGCCTTGGCCTGCTCTCTGACACCAGAGCTACGTGCCTCTTCTCAGGGGAGAGATTTCACCCCAGAAGGCAGTCTGCAAGCTCTCATTAAGCCCCCAGGTCTGAAGGTTGCTGCTAAGGAAGCATTATCACCACTGAGCTGAGCAAGTGACCTTCACTGACCTTCACTGCCCACCTGCTCCCCCTTCAGCAGGGCAGCCCACCAGGATCAAGTTCCCAGCCTGGACCAGCCACTTGTAACCCTTGAGCCCTAAGAGGAGCCTGCTGAATGAGGCAAAAAGGTCATTTTTCTGCAATGCCTTGTTCCTCCAACAGGTGGTCCCTGAGACACTCGCCTCAGCAAGCTGCCTGCCAAGCCCAGGAGACACCACTGGCACCTTCAAACCATGGCAGCCAAAGCAGCCAAGTGGGAAGAACCCAGGACCCAGAGCTACCCTGGGCTCCCTGAGGTTTTGCCACCAGAGCCGCATCTACACCTCTTATTGGGCACCCACCGTGTGCAGGCTCTGGGTCTGCCCCAAGCACACTTCATCTCATTTCACCCTCACAGCAGCCTATGAGGTGAGTCAAGTTCTCCAACTTGCTGATGAGGAAACTGAGGCACAGATCAGTGAAGGAACCTGTGCAGTGCCACACTGCTAATAAATGGAACATGTGATTCCATGTGCTTTCACTTATAGCACGATGCCTCACATTGCTCTACCCTTATCCCACCCCTTCCCTTGAGCAGTCATGCCTTGGACAGGGCTGAAGAATAAGTTGGGTGCTTTCGATAGGAAACACGTACTCTAGGGCTTTCTAACAAAACCATGTGCTCTGTCTAAGCCGGGCTGAGCTAATTGTGCTCTTACTGGCTAAGAGCTTCATCTCTGGTACCAGACTTCCCCGCTTCAAATTCCTGCTCCACCACTATGCAACTACATGACCTTGGCCTGAGGTTCTAGCTACTGGACCCTGGCAGGGCCCAGCTGAGCTGGGAAGAGCCAGCAACTAACTTCCTTGCAGGGTCCAGGATTCTGGAGACCAGGGAGGACCTCTGAGATAGTTCTCCCGCTCCCAAAAGCAATGAGTTCACACCCATTCTTCTCCCAGCAAGGAAAAATACTCCAGTGGCAAACGGCTTTGATTTCTGTCAGTTCCTGTGTGGTCCTAGCCTGAAAGGAAAACCTCACTGGTAAAAGAGTTTAGAGAAAATCCTCCAAAGCAAAGTCACCTAGGGAAAAACAAAAACACACAAGGATTTCTTGAATCCTCTCAGGAAATAAGAATTTGATCCCCAACATCTGGGCATTTGTGATAAACTAAAAGAAACCCTTAGATTTCCTGGGGCTGCAGGAATAAATACCCTGGACCCTTTTTGGGGTACTTGCAGGGGGTGGGGAGGAATCCCTGTGTTGGGGACCAGAATATTCCTGCAGTGACCCAAGCCTGCAGTGACAATGGGGAGGCTCACCCTTTCTTCCAGGCCTCCAAAAAATAAATATGCATGCCCTCACTGTGAGCAAGACCAGCCTCCTGGGCTTGGGAACCATACTGTATACCTCGGCTCTTTGCTTTGAAACCTTACCCTGGCTAAAACACGGTGCATAGTCTGCAAAGTCAGACAGGGAGAGCTGAGGGGAGAAAGAATTTCCCTCCCCACCCACCGCTTAGACAGTGCTAAAGGGGCCCACAGTGGCTCAACACCCCAAGCTGCAAGCTGACCTGGCTGCACCCCTACCCCTGATGCCAACACCCAAACTACACCTGCATCCTTGCGACTGCACCTACAGAGCTGCCTCCCAGGCTCCCCACATTCACTCTGGCTCCCCTCCAATCTGTTCTCTAAGCTGCAGCCAGAGTGGCCTTTTCAAGATGCAAATCTGATTATGTCATCCCCACTTAAAGCCTTCAGGGGATCACCATCGCTCTTGGATTCAACACAAAAGTCTCCTTACCATGAACTTGGAGCTCTCAAATGCCCTGCCTTGTCCCCACCTACCCGGCCAGCCTGCCGGAGCTCATCCCCTGCCTCACTCCCTCCTGGGCGGGGCCTTGGGACTCACCTTTCCTCTGCCTGGCATGCGCCTTCCTTCCTCTTGTCTAACTCCAACTTCTCCCCCAAGTGGCAAACTTCCCTGTCACAGGTCACAGAGCGCCCCAATCTTCTCATCGGTAGCGCAAACCAAGGGTACTTTTACATTGACTTGGGGGACTCCCTGACTGATGTCTTGCCCCACACCTTGAAGACATAAGCTGTGTTCTTCTTGCGATTGCACTCCCACGGCCTAACACAGTGCATGGCACAGGATAGATGTCCCAGTAAATATTTCTTAAACACAGGGATAAATCTGCATTAAAATTGGCATGTTTCAAATAGCATTGGGATGAATGGGTTTTCCATGTTTCCCTACTCTCACCCTCAAAAAAAGATGTTAAAAGAAAATGCTCTCCACAAATGGACATAACCCCCAAAACTCCACACACACAGATGCTGCCCTGTTACCAAGAACCTCCTCCTTCCATTCTCGTAAGTGAGCCCTATATAAGCAACAAAATAGTGTTCTTGGGGTCCAAGCTGCCAAGCAAGACAGCTGGGTCATTCCTGACACCCTCAGCAGGACAGAAGAAAAAGGTTGTCTTCCTCCAGCCCAGGCATTCTGGAGCTTCCGGAGAACCAGGCAGCAGGTGGAACCCCCGGGACAGCACTGTCTTGGCTGCTTCCTAAACGTTAGCACTGTGTGGTTCTCACCACAACTCCTGGAGGTGGGTGTCATTCGCATCATCTTACAGACGAGGCAACTGAGGCTACTGGTTAAGTGGTGCAGCTGGGAAGCCAATCCAGGTGGCTCAGTGTTTCAGCTAAACAGCTCAGGCCCTGGAGTCCTAGGCCCGGGCTTAGATCTCTCCTCCCCCCTTCTGAGGGTGGTTCTGAGTCTCATCCCTCTAAAATGGGGGTAACGATGTTATGTACCCATTTAAGTTATCTGGCAGTTGGTTGGTG